TTCCATCACCACGCCCCATTCTCCCTCTTTCCATCACCCCTCCCCATTCTCCCTCTTTCTATCACCACGCCCCATTCTCCCGATTTCCATCACCCCGCCCCATTCTCCCTCTTTCCATTACCCCGCCCCATTCTCCTGCTTTCCATCACCCCGCCCCATTCTCCCTCTTTCCATCACCCCGCCCCATTCTCCCGCTTTCTATCACCCCACCCCATTCTCCCGCTTTCCATCACCCCTCTCCATTGTCCCGCTTTCCATCACCCCGCCCAATTCTCCCGCTTTCCATCACCCCTCTCCATTCTCCCTCTTTCCATCTCCCCGCCCCATTCTCCCTGTTTCCATCACCCCGTCCAACTCTCCCTCTTTCCGTCACCCCGCCCCATTCACCCTGTTTCCATCACCTCGCCCCATTCTCCCTCTTTCCATCTCCCCGCCCCATTCTCCCGCTTTCCATCACCCCGCCCCATTCTCCCTCTTTCCATCACCCCGCCCCATTCTCTCGCCTTTCATCACCCCGCCCCATTCTCCCGCTTTCCATCACCCCGCCCAATTCTCCCGCTTTCCATCACCCCGCCCCATTCTCCCGCCTTCCATCACCCCGCCCCATTCTCCCTCTTTCCATCACCCCGCCCCATTCTCACGCTTTCCATCAGCCCGCCCCAATCTCCCTCTTTCCATCACCCCGCCCCATTCTCCCACTTTCCATCACCCCGCCCCATTCTCCCTCTATCCATCACCCCGCCCCATTCTCTCGCTTCCATCACCCCGCCTTATTCTCCCGTTTTCCATCACCCCGCCCCATTATCCCGATTTCCATCACCCCGCCCCATTCTCCCGCTTTCCATCACCCTGCCCCATTCTTCCGATTTCCATCACCCCGCCCCATTCTCCCGCTTTCCATCACCCCGCCCCATTCTCCCGCTTTCCATCACCCTGCCCCATTCTCACTCTTTCCATCACCCCTCCCCATTCTCCCTCTTTCCATCACCCCGCCCCATTCTCCTGCTTTCTATCTCCCCGCCCCATTCTCCCTCTTTCCATCACCCCGCCCTATTCTCCCGCCTTCCATCACCCCGCCCCATTCTCCATCTTTCCATCACCCTGCCCAATTCTCCCCCTTTCCATCACCCCGCCCCATTCTCCCGCCATCCATCACCCCGCCCCATTCTCCCTCTTTCCATCACCCAGCCCCATTCTCTCGCTTTCCATCACCCCGCCCTATTTTCCCGATTTCCATCACCCCGCCCCATTCTCCCGTTTTCCATCACCCCACCCCATTCTCCCGCTTTCCATCACCCCGCCCCATTCTCCCGCTTTCCATCACCCCGCCCCATTCTCCCGCTTTCCATCACCCTGCCCCATTCTCCCGCTTTCCATCACCCCGCCCCATTCTCCCGCTTTCCATCACCCCACCCCATTCTCCCTCTTTCCATCACCCCGCCCCATTCTCCCGCTTTCCATCACCCTGCTCCATTTTCACTCTTTCCATCACCCCGCTCCATTCTCCCGCTTTCCATCACCCCGCCCAATTCTCTCTCTTTCCATCACCCCTCCCCATTCTCCCTCTTTCCATCACCCCGCCCCATTCTCCCGCTTTCCATCACCCCGCCCCATTCTCCCTCTTTCCATCACCCGGCCCCATTCTCCCTCTTTCCATCACCCCGCCCCATTCTCCCGCTTTCCATCACCCCGCCCCATTCTCCCGCTTTCCATCACCCCGACCCATTCTCCCTCTTTCCATCACCCCGCCCCATTTGCCCACTTTCCATCACCCCGCCCCATTCTTCCTCTTTCCATCTCCCTGCCCCATTCTCCCTCTTTCCATCACCCCGCCCCATTCTCCCGATTTCCGTCACCCCGCCCCATTCTCCCTCTTTCCATCACCCCGCCCCATTCTCCCGATTTCCGTCACCCCGCCCCATTCTCCCTCTTTCCATCACCCCGCCCCATTCTTCCTCTTTCCATCTTCCCGCCCCATTCTCCCTCTTTCCATCACCCCGCCCCATTCTCCCTCTTTCCATCACCCCGCCCCATTCTCCCTCTTTCCATCACCCCGCCCCATTCTCCCGATTTCCGTCACCTCGCCCCATTCTCTCTCTTTCCATCACCCCGCCCCATTCTCCCGATTTCTGTCATCCTGCCCCATTCTCCCTCTTTCCATCACCCCGCCCCATTCTCCCTCTTTCCATCACCCCGACCCATTCCTCGCTTTCCATCACCCCGCCCCATTCTCCCTCTTTCCATCACCCCGCCCCATTCTCCCGCTTTCCATCACCCTGCCCCATTCTCCCTCTTTCCATCACCCCGCCCTATCCTCTCTCTTTCCATCACCCCGCACCATTTTCCCGCTTTCCATCACCCCGCACCATTCTACCTCTTTCCATCACCCCACCTCATTCTACTGCTTTCCATGACCCCGTCCCATTCTCTTGCTTTCCATCACCCCGCCCAATTTTCCCTCTTTCCATCATCCCGCCCCATTCTCCCTCTTTCCATCACCCCGCCCCATTCTCCCCCAATCCATCACCCCACCCCATTTTCTCTCTTTTCATCACCCCGTCCCATTCTTCCGCTTTCCATCACCCCGCCCCATTCTCCCGCCTTCCATAACCCCGCCCCATTCTCCATCTTTCCATCACCCTGCCCAATTCTCCCGCTTTCCATCACCCCGCCCCATTCTCCCGCCTTCCATCACCCCGCCCCATTCTCCCTCTTTCCATCACCCCGCCCCATTCTCCCGCTTTCCATCACCCCGCCCCATTCCCCCGCTTTCCATCACCCCGCCCCATTCTCCCGCTTTCCATCACCCCGCCCAATTCTCCCTCTTTCCATCACCTGGCCCCATTCTCCCGCTTTCCATCACCCCGCCCCATTCTCCCTCTTTCCATCACCCCGCCCCATTCTCCCGATTTCCATCACTTCGCCCCTTTCTCCCGCTTTCCATCACCACGCCCCATTCTCCCGCTTTCCATCACCCCGCCCCATTCTCCCTCTTTCCATCACCCCGCCCCATTCTCCCGCTTTCCATCACCACGCCCCATTCTCCCGCTTTCCATCACCCTGCCCCATTCTCCCGCTTTCCATCACCCCGCCCCATTCTCCCTCTTTCCATCACCCCGCCCCATTCTCCCGCTTTCCATCACCTCGCCCCATTTTCCCGCTTTCCATCACCCCGCCCCATTCTCCCGCTTTCCATCACCCCGCCCCATTCTCCCTCTTTCCATCACCCGGCCCCATTCTCCCGCTTTCCATCACCCCGCCCCATTCTCCCTCTTTCCATCACCCCTCCCCATTCTCCCGATTTCCATCACTTCGCCCCATTCTCCCGCTTTCCATCACCCCGCCCCATTCTCCCGCTTTCCATCACCCCGCCCCATTCTCCCTCTTTCCATCACCCCGCCCCATTCTCCCGCTTTCCATCACCTCGCCCCATTCTCCCGCTTTCCATCACCCCGCCCCATTCTCCCGCTTTCCATCACCCCGCCCCATTCTCCCTCTTTCCATCACCCGGCCCCATTCTCCCGCTTTCCGTCACCCCGCCCCATTCTCCCTCTTTCCATCACCCCGCCCCATTCTCCCGCTTTTAATCACTGCGCCCCATTCTCCCGCTTTCCATCACTCCGCCCCATTCTCCCGATTTCCATCACCCCGCCCCATTCTTCAGCTTTCCATCACTTCGCCCCATTCTCTCGATTTCCATCACCCCGCCCCATTCTTTTGCTTTCCATCACCCCGCCACATTCTCCTGCTTTCCATTACCCCGCCCCATTCTCCCGCTTTCCATCACCCCGCCCCATTCTCCCGCTTTTCATCACCCCGCCCCATTCTCCCGATTTCCATCACCCCGCCCCTCTCCCGCTTTCCATCACCCTGCCCCATTCTCCCGCTTCCCATCACCCCGCCCAATTCTCCCTCTTTCCATCACCCCGCCCCATTCTCCCTCTTTCCATCACCCCGCCCCATTCTCCAGCTTTCCATCACCCCGCCCCATTCTCCCGCTTTCCATCACCTCGCCCCATCTCCCGCTTTCCATCACCCCGCCCCATTCTCCCTCTTTCCATCACCCCGCCCCATTCTCCTGCATTCTATCACCCTGCCCCATTCTCCATCCTTCCATCACCCCGCCCCATTCTCCTGCTTTCCATCAACTCGCCTTGCTGGTGGGGGTGCTGGGAGCAACTCACCTGGCTGGTGGGGGTGCTGGGAGCAACGCACCTCGCTGGTGGGGGTGCCTGGAGCAACTCGTCTGGCTGGAGGGGGTGCTGGGAGCGACTCACCTGGCTGGTGGGGGTGGTGGGAGCAACTCACCTGGCTGGTGAGGGTGCCTGGAGCAACTCGTCTGGCTGGTGGGGGTGCTGGGAGCAACTCGCCTGGCCGGTGCGGGTGCTGGGAGCAACTCGCCTGGCTGGTGGGGGTGCTGGAAGCAGCTCGCTTGGCTGGTGGGGATGCTGGGAGCAACTCGCCTTGCTGGTGGGGGTGCTCGGAGCAACTTGCCTGGCTGGTGGGGGTGCAGGGAGCAACTCGCCTGGCTGGTGGGGGTGCTGGGAGCAACTCGCCTGGCTGGTGGGGGTGCTGGGAGCAACTCGCCTGGCTGGTGGGGGCGCTGGGAGCAACTCACCTGGCTGGTGGGGGTGCTGGGAGCAACTCACCTGGCTGCTGGGGGTGCTAGGAGCAACTCTTCTGGCTGGTGGGGTTGCTGGGAGCAACTCGCCTGGCTGGTGGGGGTGCTGGGAGCAACTCGCCTGGCTGGTGGGGGTGCTGGGAGCAACTCGCCTGGCTGGTGGGGGTGCTGGGAGCAACTCACCTGGCTGGTGGGGGTGCTGGGAGCAACTCGCCTGGCTGGTGGGGGTGCTAGGAGCAACTCGTCTGGCTGGTGGGGTTGCTGGGAGCAACTCGCCTGGCTGGTGGGGGTGCTGGGAGCAACTCGCCTGGCTGGTGGGGGTGCTGGGAGCAACTCGCCTGGCTGGTGGGGGTGCTGGGAGCAACTCGTCTGGCTGGTGGGGGTGCTGGGAGCAACTCGCCTGGCTGGTGGGGGTGCTGGGAGCAACTCGCCTGGCTGGTGGGGGTGCTGGGAGCAACTCGCCTGGCTGGTGGGGGTGCTGGGAGCAACTCGCCTGGCTGGTGGGGGTGCTGGGAGCAACTCACCTGGCTGGTGGGGGTGCTGGGAGCAACTCGCCTGGCTGGTGGGGGTGCTAGGAGCAACTCGTCTGGCTGGTGGGGTTGCTGGGAGCAACTCGCCTGGCTGGTGGGGGTGCTGGGAGCAACTCGCCTGGCTGGTGGGGGTGCTGGGAGCAACTCGCCTGGCTGGTGGGGGTGCTGGGAGCAACTCGTCTGGCTGGTGGGGGTGCTGGGAGCAACTCGCCTGGCTGGTGGGGGTGCTGGGAGCAACTCGCCTGGCTGGTGGGGGTGCTGGGAGCAACTCGTCTGGCTGGTGGGGGTGCTGGGAGCAACTCGCCTGGCTGGTGGGGGTGCTGGGAGCAACTCGCCTGGCTGGTGGGGGTGCTGGGAGCAACTCGCCTGGCTGGTGGGGGTGCTGGGAGCAACTCGCCTGGCTGGTGGGGGTGCTGGGAGCAACTCACCTGGCTGGTGGGGGTGCTGGGAGCAACTCGCCTGGCTGGTGGGGGTGCTAGGAGCAACTCGTCTGGCTGGTGGGGTTGCTGGGAGCAACTCGCCTGGCTGGTGGGGGTGCTGGGAGCAACTCGCCTGGCTGGTGGGGGTGCTGGGAGCAACTCGCCTGGCTGGTGGGGGTGCTGGGAGCAACTCGTCTGGCTGGTGGGGGTGCTGGGAGCAACTCGCCTGGCTGGTGGGGGTGCTGGGAGCAACTCGCCTGGCTGGTGGGGGTGCTGGGAGCAACTCGTCTGGCTGGTGGGGGTGCTGGGAGCAACTCACCTGGCTGGTGGGGGTGTTAGGAGCAACTCACCTGGCTGGTGGGGGTGCTGGGAGCAACTCACCTGGCTGCTGGGGGTGCTAGGAGCAACTCTTCTGGCTGGTGGGGTTGCTGGGAGCAACTCGCCTGGCTGGTGGGGGTGCTGGGAGCAACTCGCCTGGCTGGTGGGGGTGCTGGGAGCAACTCGCCTGGCTGGTGGGGGTGCTGGGAGCAACTCACCTGGCTGGTGGGGGTGCTGGGAGCAACTCGCCTGGCTGGTGGGGGTGCTAGGAGCAACTCGTCTGGCTGGTGGGGTTGCTGGGAGCAACTCGCCTGGCTGGTGGGGGTGCTGGGAGCAACTCGCCTGGCTGGTGGGGGTGCTGGGAGCAACTCGCCTGGCTGGTGGGGGTGCTGGGAGCAACTCGTCTGGCTGGTGGGGGTGCTGGGAGCAACTCGCCTGGCTGGTGGGGGTGCTGGGAGCAACTCGCCTGGCTGGTGGGGGTGCTGGGAGCAACTCGCCTGGCTGGTGGGGGTGCTGGGAGCAACTCGCCTGGCTGGTGGGGGTGCTGGGAGCAACTCACCTGGCTGGTGGGGGTGCTGGGAGCAACTCGCCTGGCTGGTGGGGGTGCTAGGAGCAACTCGTCTGGCTGGTGGGGTTGCTGGGAGCAACTCGCCTGGCTGGTGGGGGTGCTGGGAGCAACTCGCCTGGCTGGTGGGGGTGCTGGGAGCAACTCGCCTGGCTGGTGGGGGTGCTGGGAGCAACTCGTCTGGCTGGTGGGGGTGCTGGGAGCAACTCGCCTGGCTGGTGGGGGTGCTGGGAGCAACTCGCCTGGCTGGTGGGGGTGCTGGGAGCAACTCGTCTGGCTGGTGGGGGTGCTGGGAGCAACTCGCCTGGCTGGTGGGGGTGCTGGGAGCAACTCACCTGGCTGGTGGGGGTGTTAGGAGCAACTCACCTGGCTGGTGGGGGTCCTCGGAGCAACTCACCTGGCTGGTGGGGGTGATGGGAGCAACTCACCTAGTTTGTGGGGGTGCTGGGAGCAACTCACCTGGCTGGTGGGGGTGCTGGGAGCAACTCACCTGGCTGGTGGGGGTGGTGAAAGCAACTCACCTGGCTGGTGGGGGTGCTAGGAGCAACTCACCTGGCTGGTGGGGGTGCTGGGAGCAACTCACCTGGCTGGTGGGGGTGCTGGGAGCAACTCACCTAACTGGTGGGGTTGTTCGGAGCAACTCACCTGGCTGGTGGGGGTGCTGGGAGCAAGTAACCTGGCCTGTGGGGGTGCTAGGAGCAACTCGCCTGGCTGGTGGGGGTGCTGGGAGCAACTCGCCTGGCTGGTGGGGGTGCTGGGAGCAATTCGCCTGGCTGGTGGGGGTGCTGGGAGCAACTCGCCTGGCTGGTGGGGGTGCTGGGAGCAACTCGCCTGGCTGGTGGGAGTGCAGGGAGCAACTCGCCTGGCTGGTGGGGGTGCTGGGAGCAACTCGCCAGGCTGGTGTGGGTGCTGGGAGCAACTCGCCTGGCTGGTGGGGGTGCTGGGAGCAACTCGCCTGGCTGGTGGGGGTGCTGGGAGCAACTCGCCTGGCTGGTGGGGGTGCTGGGAGCAACTCGCCTGGCTGGTGGGGGTGCTGGGAGCAACTCGCCTGGCTGGTGGGGGTGCTGGGAGCAACTCGCCTGGCTAGTGGGGGTGCTGGGAGCAACTCGCCTGGCTGGTGGGGGTGCTGGGAGCAACTCACCTGGCTGGTGGGGGTGCTGGGAGCAACTCGCCTGGCTGGTGGGGGTGCTGCGAGCAATTTACCTGGCTGGTGGGGGTGCTGGGAGCAACTCACCTGACTGGTGGGGGTGCTGGGAGCAACTCGCTTGGCCGGTGGGGGTGCTGGGAGCAACTCGCCTGGCTGGTGGGGGTGCTAGGAGCAACTCGCCTAGCTGGTAGGAATGCTGGGAGCAACTCGCCTGGCCGGTGGGGGTGCTGGGAGCAACTCGCCTGGCCGGTGGGGGTGCTGGGAGCAACTCACCTGGCTGGTGGGGGTGCTGGGAGCAACTCACCTGGCCGGTGGGGGTGCTGGGAGCAACTCGCCTGGCTGGTGGGAGTGCAGGGAGCAACTCGCCTGGCTGGTGGGGGTGCTGGGAGCAACTCGCCAGGCTGGTGTGGGTGCTGGGAGCAACTCGCCTGGCTGGTGGGGGTGCTGGGAGCAACTCGCCTGGCTGGTGGGGGTGCTGGGAGCAACTCGCCTGGCTGGTGGGGGTGCTGGGAGCAACTCACCTGGCTGGTGGGGGTGCTGGGAGCAACTCACCTAACTGGTGGGGTTGTTCGGAGCAACTCACCTGGCTGGTGGGGGTGCTGGGAGCAAGTAACCTGGCCTGTGGGGGTGCTAGGAGCAACTCGCCTGGCTGGTGGGGGTGCTGGGAGCAACTCGCCTGGCTGGTGGGGGTGCTGGGAGCAATTCGCCTGGCTGGTGGGGGTGCTGGGAGCAACTCGCCTGGCTGGTGGGGGTGCTGGGAGCAACTCGCCTGGCTGGTGGGAGTGCAGGGAGCAACTCGCCTGGCTGGTGGGGGTGCTGGGAGCAACTCGCCAGGCTGGTGTGGGTGCTGGGAGCAACTCGCCTGGCTGGTGGGGGTGCTGGGAGCAACTCGCCTGGCTGGTGGGGGTGCTGGGAGCAACTCGCCTGGCTGGTGGGGGTGCTGGGAGCAACTCGCCTGGCTGGTGGGGGTGCTGGGAGCAACTCGCCTGGCTGGTGGGGGTGCTGGGAGCAACTCGCCTGGCTAGTGGGGGTGCTGGGAGCAACTCGCCTGGCTGGTGGGGGTGCTGGGAGCAACTCACCTGGCTGGTGGGGGTGCTGGGAGCAACTCGCCTGGCTGGTGGGGGTGCTGCGAGCAATTTACCTGGCTGGTGGGGGTGCTGGGAGCAACTCACCTGACTGGTGGGGGTGCTGGGAGCAACTCGCTTGGCCGGTGGGGGTGCTGGGAGCAACTCGCCTGGCTGGTGGGGGTGCTAGGAGCAACTCGCCTAGCTGGTAGGAATGCTGGGAGCAACTCGCCTGGCCGGTGGGGGTGCTGGGAGCAACTCGCCTGGCCGGTGGGGGTGCTGGGAGCAACTCACTCTCTTGAGCAGAGGAGTAACTTCAGATATCTGCTCAATCCAAATAACATTCCCACACACTCAGAGAATCCAAACCACACCAAACACAAATTCTTGCATACGCTAACACCACGCATGCAACGCACGAACACATGATGGGAGGCAGACAGACGTGAATGCGTATGGTAGCATCACTCAACAGAAAGTGGGAGAACGGGGCGGGGTGATGGAAAGCGGGAGAATGGGGCGGGGTGATGGAAAGCTGGAGAATGGGGCGGGTGATGGAAAGCAGGAGAATGGGGCGGAGTGATGAAAAGTGGGAGAATGGGGCGGGGTGATGGAAAGCGGGAGAATGGGGCGGGGTGAAGGAAAGCGGGAGAATGGGGCGGGGTGATGGAAAGCGGGAGAATGGGGCGGGGTGATGGAAAGCGGGAGAATGGGGCGGGGTGATGCAAGGAGGGAGAATGGGGTGGGGTGATGGAAGGAGGGAGATTGGGCCGGGGTGATGGAAAGCGGGAGAAGGGGGCGAGGTGATGGAAAGCGGGAGAATAGGGCGGGCCTATGAAATGCGGGAGACTGGGGCGGGGTGAGGGAAAGCGGGAGAATGGGGTGGGGTGATGGAAAGCGGGAGAATGGGGCGGGGTGATGGAAAGCGGGAGAATGGGGCGGGGTTATGGAAGGAGGGAGAATGGGGCGGGGTGATGGAAGGAGGGAGAATGGGGCGGGGTGATGGAAAGAAGGAGAATGGGGCGGGGTGATGGAAAGCGTGAGAATAGGGCGGTGTGATGGAAAGCGGGAGAATGGGGCGGGGTGATGGAAGGAGGGAGAATGGGGAGGGGTAATGGAAAGCGGGAGAATGGGACGGGGTGATGGAAAGCGGGAGAATGGAGCGGGTGATGGAAAGCGGGAGAATGAGGCGGGGTGATGGAAAGCGAGAGAATGGGGCGGGGTGATGGAAAGCGGGAGAATGGGGCGGGGTGATGGAAAGCGGGAGAATCGGGCATGGTGATGGAAAGCGGGAAAATGGGGCGGGGTGATGGAAAGAGGGAGAATGGGACGGGGTGATGGAAAGCTGGAGAATGGGGCGTGGTGATGGAAAGCGGGAGAATGGGACGGGGTGATTAAAAGCGGGAGAATGGGGCGGGGTGATGGAAAGCGGGAGAATGGGGCGGGGTAATGGAAGGAGGGAGAATGGGGCAGGGTCATGGAAGGAGGGAGAATGGGGCGGGGTGATGGAAAGCAGGAGAATGGGGAGGAGTGATGGAAAGCGGGAGAATGGGGCGGGGTGATGGAAAGCGGGAGAATGGGGCGGGGTGATGGAAAGCGGGAGAATGGGGCGGGGTGATGGAAAGTGGGGGAATGGGGCGGGGTGATGGATAGCAGGAGAATGGGGCGGGGTGACGCAAAGCGGGAAAATGGGTCGGGGTGATGGAAAGCGGGAGAATGGGGCTGGGTGATGGAATGCGGAAGAATGGGGCGGGGTGATGGAAAGCAGGAGAATGGGGCGGGGTGATGGAAGGAGGGAGAATGGGGTGGGGTGATGGTAGAAGGGAGATTGGGCCGAGGTGATGGAAAGCGGGAGAAGGGGGCGAGGTGATGGAAAGCGGGAGAATAGGGCGGGGCTATGAAATGCGGGAGACTGGGGCGGGGTGAGGGAAAGCGGGAGAATGGGGCGGGGTGATGGAAAGCGGGAGAATGGGGCGGGGTGATGGAAAGCAGAAGAATGGGGCGGGGTGATGGAAGGAGGGAGAATGGGGCGGGGTGATGGAAAGCAGGTGAATGGGGCGGGGTGATGGAAAGCATGAGAATAGGGCGGTGTGATGGAAAGCGGGAGAATGGGGCGGGGTGATGGAAGGAGGGAGAATGGGGAGGGGTGATGGAAAGCGGGAGAATGGGACGGGGTGATGGAAAGCGGGAGAATGGGGCGGGGTGATGGAAAGCGGGAGAATGGGGCGGGGTGATGGAAAGCGGGAGAATGGGGCGGGGTGATGGAAGGAGAGAGAAGGGGGCGGGGTGCTGGAAAGTGGGAGAATGTGGCGGGGTGATGAAAAGCGGGAGAATGGGGTGGGGTTATGGGAAGCGGGAGAATGGGGTGGGGTGATGGAAAGCGGGAGAATGGGGCGGGGTGATGGAAGGAGGGAGAATGGGGCGGGGTGATGGAAGGAGGGAGAATGGGGCGGAATGATGGAAAGCGGGAGAATGGGGCGGGGTGATGGAAGGAGGGAGAATGGGGCGAGATGATGGAAAGCGGGAGAATGGGGCGGGGTGATGGAAAGCGGGAGAATGGGGCGGGGTGATGGAAAGCGGGAGAATGGGGCGGGGTGATGGAAATCGGGAGAATGGGGGGGGGTGATGGAAAGCGGGAGAATGGGGCGGGGTGATGGAAGGAGGGAGAGTGGGGCGGGGTGATAGAAAGCGGGAGAATGTGGCGGGGTGATGGAAAGTGGGAGAATGGGGTGGGGTTATGGGAAGCGGGAGAATGGGGCGGGGTGATGGAAAGCGGGAGAATGGGGCGGGTTGATGGAAGGAGGGAGAATGGGGCGGGGTGATGGAAGGAGGGAGAATGGGGCGGGGTGATGGAAAGCGTGAGAAAGGGGCGGGGTGATGGAAGGAGGGAGAATGGGGCGGGGTGATGGAAAGCGGGAGAATGGGGCGGGGTGATGGAAGGAGGGAGAATGGGGCGGGGTGATGGAAAGCGGGAGAATGGGGCGGGGTGATGGAAAGCGGGAGAATGGGGCGGGGTGATGGAAAGCGAGGGAATGGGGCGGGGTGATGGAAGGAGGGAGAAAAGGGAGGGGTGATGGAAAGCGGGGGAATGGGGCGGGATGATGGGAAGCGGAAGAATGGGGCGGGGTGATGGAAAGCGGGAGAATGGGGCGGGGTGATGGAAAGCGGGAGAATGGGGCGGGGAGATGGAAAGAGGGAGAATACGGCGGGGTGATGGAAAGAGGGAGAATGGGGCGGGGTGATGGAAAGCGGGAGAATGGGGCGGGGTGATGGAAAGCGGGAGAATGGGGCGGGTCGATGGAAAGCGGGAGAATGGGGCGGGGTGATGGAAAGAGGGAGAATGGGGAGGGGTGATGGAAAGAGGGAGAATTGGGCGGGGTGATGGAAAGCGGGAGAATGGAGCGGGGTGATGGAAAGTGGGAGAATGGGGCGGGGTGATGGAAAGCGGGACAATGGGACGGGGTGATGGAAAGAGTGAAAATGGGGCGGGGTGATGGATTGGGGGTGAATGGGGCGGGGTGATGGAAAGAGGTAGAATGGGTCGGGGTGATGGAAAGAGGGAAAATTGGGCGGGGTGATGGAAAGCGGGAGAATGGAGCGGGGTGATGGAAAGCGGGAGAATGGGGCGGGGTGATGGAAAGAGGGAGAATGGTGCAGGGTGATGGAAAGCGGGAGAATGGTGCGGGGTGATGGAAAGAGGGAGGATGGGGCGAGGTGATGGAAAGAGGGAGAATGGGGCGGGGTGATGGTGTTATAGTCACAGTAGGCTCCAATGTGCCTAAAACGAAAGATAGAGTGCACAGTCGGATTTCTGCACAGCGGTTTCAAACGTTCATAGCGTTTTGGTCACAGCTTCAAATGACTTGATTCAACTTGGATCTGGAGCGCCTTACTTTCGCCTACAATAGGCAATTTAGATCGCACGATTTGACCAAGTATTGACGACACAGGGTTGGTTTGAACGAACGGCACTATGGCAGCCACTATGGTCTTAGAACACAAGATAGGAAGAGTTAGGAAGAGTTACGAGTTGGGAATGACTCCCAGCTCCTACAAACCCCAAGAGCCGAGGTACAGTGATGTGGAACAGTGCCACACTGTCCCCAACCACGAAGGGTCTCGAAACTACCCTTCACTAGGGCCTACACCAAGTGAAATGTTACACTACACAAAGTAATGTAACTATCTTCAATATCTTGAGGTGTACCCTTTTGGCGAGCTTTGAAATCACTTGTGGATTGACACCAAGGCTCGGCTCTTTATCACAAACTCATCCTTGAGTTCTTGATGGGTCTGCTGCACACACCTGCGACACACCGAACGTTCGACATAGGACAAAAGAGAAACCGCGCACGACAAAATAGAAACCGCGCGCGAGACACAAACGACCACGTAACACGCGTCTAGCGATAACTCGCTATTGACTCGACACATACACTCGACATCATGACTCAACATTCACACACAATTATAAGCATTAAATATATATTATCCCATGCCCTCATACCATTCCATAGACACACACACATGCACGCACACGGATAACAAGCCGAGTGCAAACCATAGGGTTGCACCAACAGATGGATAGAGGGAGAATGGGGAGGGGTGATGGAAAGAGGGAGAATGGGGAGGGGTGATGGAAAGAGGGAGAATGGGGAGGGGTGATGGAAAGAGGGAGAATTGGGCGGGGTGATGGAAAGCGGGAGAATGGTGCAGGGTGATGGAAAGCGGGAGAATGGTGCGGGGTGATGGAAAGAGGGAGGATGGGGCGAGGTGATGGAAAGAGGGAGAATGGGGCGGGGTGATGGAAAGAGGGAGAATGGGGAGGGGTGATGGATAGAGGGAGAATTGGGCGGGGTGATGGAAAGCGGGAGAATGGAGCGGGGTGATGGAAAGCGGGAGAATGGGGCGGTGTGATGGAAAACGGGAGAATGGGGCGGGGTGATGGAAAGCGAGAGAATGGGGCGGGGTGATGGAAAGAGGGAGAATGGGGCGCGGTGATGGAAACAGGGAGAATGGGGCGGGCTGATGGAAAGCGGGAGAATGGGGCTGGGTGATAGAAAGAGGGAGAATGGGGAGGGGTGATGGAAAGAGGGAGAATTGGGTGGGGTGTTGGAAAGCAGGAGAATGGAGCGGGGTGATGGAAAGCGGGAGAATGGGGCGGGGTGATGGAAAGCGGGAGAACGGGACGGGGTGATGGAAAGATTGAAAATGGGGCGGGGTGATGGATTGGGGGAGAATGGGGCAGGGTGATGGAAAGAGGGAGAATGGGGCGGGGTGATGGAAAGCAGGAGAATGGGACGGGGTGATGGAAAGAGTGAAAATAGGGAGGGGTGATGGATTGGGGGAGAATGGGGCAGGGTGATGGAAAGAGGGAGAATGGGTCGGGGTGTTGCAAAGAGGGAAAATTGGGCGGGGTGATGGAAAGCGGGAGAATGGGACGGGGTGATGGAAAGCAGGAGAATGGTGCGGGGTGATGGAAAGAGGGAGAATGGTGCGGGGTGATGGAAAGAGGGAGAATGGGGCGGGGTGATGGAAAGAGGGAGAATGGGGCGGGGTGATGGAAAGAGGGAGAAAGGAGAGGGGTGAGGGAAAGAGGGAGAATTGGGCGGGGTGATGGAAAGCGGGAGAATAGAGCGGGGTGATGGAAAGCGGGAGAATGGGGCGGGGTGATGGAAAGCGGGAGAATGGGGCGGGGTGATGGAAAGAGGGAGAATGGGGCAGGGTGATGGAAAGAGGGAGAATGGGGCCGGGTGAAAGCGGGAGAATGGGGCGGGGTGATGGAAAGAGGGAGAATAGGGCGGGGTGATGGAAGGATGGAGAATGGGGCGGGGTGATGGAAAGAGGGAGAATGGGGCGGGGTGATGGAAAGAGGGAGAAAGGAGAGGGGTGAGGGAAAGAGGGAGAATTGGGCGGGGTGATGGAAAGCGGGAGAATAGAGCGGGGTGATGGAAAGCGGGAGAATGGGGCGGGGTGATGGAAAGAGGGAGAATGGGGCAGGGTGATGGAAAGAGGGAGAATGGGGCCGGGTGAAAGCGGGAGAATGGGGCGGGGTGATGGAAAGAGGGAGAATGGCGCGGGGTGATGGAAGGATGGAGAATGGGGCGGGGTGATGGAAAGCGGGAGAATGGGGCGGGGTGATTGAAAGCGGGAGAATGGGGCGGGGTTATGGAAAGAGGGAGAATGGGGCGGGGTGATGGAAAGCGGGAGAATGGGGCGGGGTGATGGAAAGCGGGAGAATGGGGCGGGGTGATGGAAAGAGGGAAAATGGGGCGGGGTGATAGAAAGCGGGAGAATGGGGCGGGGTGATGGAAAGAGGGAGAATGGGGCGCAGTGATGGAAAGAGGGAGAATGGGGTGGGTGATCGAAAGCGGGAGAATGGGGTGGGGTGGTGGAAAGCGGGAGAATGGGGTGGGGCTATGGAAAGAGGGAGAGTGGGGCGGGGTGATGGAAAGCGGGAGAATGGAGCGGGGTGATGGAAAGCGGGGGAATGGGGCGGGGTGATGGAAAGCTGGAGAATGGGGCGGGGTGATGGAAAGAGGGAGAACGGGGCGGGGTGGTGGAAAGAGGGAGACTGGGGAGGGGTGATGGAAAGGGGGAGAACGAGGCGGGGTGATGGAGAGCGGGAGAACGGGGCGGGGTGATGGAAAGGGGTAGAATAGGGCGGGGTGATGGAAAACGGGAGAACGGGGCGGGGTGATGAAAAGATGGAGAATGGGGCGGGGTGATGGAAACCGGGAGAACGGGGCGGGGTGATGGAAAGCGGGAGAATGGGGCGGGGTGATGGAAAGTGGGAGAATGGGGCGGGGTGATGGAAAGCGGGAGAATGGGGCGGGGTGATGGAAACAGGGAGAATGGGGCGGGGTGATGGAAACAGGGAGAATGGGGTGGGGTGATGGAAAGAGGGGGAATGGGGCAGGGTGATAGAAAGAGGGAGAACGGGGCGGGGTGATGGAAAGAGGGTGAATGGGGCGCGGTGATGGAAAGAGGGAGAATGGGGAGGGGTGATGGAAAGAGGGAGAATTGGGCGGGGTGATGGAAAGCGGGAAAATGGAGCGGGGTGATGGAAAGCGGGAGACTGGGGCGGGGTGATGGAAAGAGGGAGAATGGGGCGGGGTGATGGAAAGCAAGAGAATGGGGCGGGGTGATGAAAAGCGAGAGAATGGGGCGGGGTGATGGAAAGAGGGAGAATGGGGTGGGGTGATGGAAAGAGGGAGAATGGGGCGGGGTGATGGAAAGCGGGAGAATGGGGCTGGGTGATGGAAAGAGGGAGAATGGGGAGGGGTGATGGAAGGAGGGAGAATTTGGCGGGGTGATGGAAAGCCGGAGAATAGAGCGGGGTGATGGAAAGTGGGAGAATGGGGCGGGGTGATGGAAAGCGGGAGAATGGGGCGGGGTGATGGAAAGCGGGAGAATGGGGCGGGGTGATGGAAAGCGGGAGAATGGGGCGGGATGATGGAAAGCTGGAGAATGGGGCGGGGTGATGGAAAGAGGGAGAATACGGCGGGGTGATGGAAAGAGGGAGAATGGGGCGGGGTGATGGAAAGCGGGAGAATGGGGCGGGGTGATGGAAAGCGGGAGAATGGGGCGGGTCGATGGAAAGCGGGAGAATGGGGCGGGGTGATGGAAAGAGGGAGAATGGGGAGGGGTGATGGAAAGAGGGAGAATTGGGCTGGGTGATGGAAAGCGGGAGAATGGAGCGGGGTGATGGAAAGTGGGAGAATGGGGCGGGGTGATGGAAAGCGGGACAATGGGACGGGGTGATGGAAAGAGTGAAAATGGGGCGGGGTGATGGATTGGGGGAGAATGGGGCGGGGTGATGGAAAGAGGTAGAATGGGTCGGGGTGATGGAAAGAGGGAAAATTGGGCGGGGTGATGGAAAGCGGGAGAATGGAGCGGGGTGATGGAAAGCGGGAGAATGGGGCGGGGTGATGGAAAGAGGGAGAATGGTGCAGGGTGATGGAAAGCGGGAGAATGGTGCGGGGTGATGGAAAGAGGGAGGATGGGGCGATGTGATGGAAAGAGGGAGAATGGGGCGGGGTGATGGATAGAGGGAGAATGGGGAGGGGTGATGGAAAGAGGGAGAATGGGGAGGGGTGATGGAAAGAGGGAGAATGGGGAGGGGTGATGGAAAGAGGGAGAATTGGGCGGGGTGATGGAAAGCGGGAGAATGGTGCAGGGTGATGGAAAGCGGGAGAATGGTGCGGGATGATGGAAAGAGGGAGGATGGGGCGAGGTAATGGAAAGAGGGAGAATGGGGCGGGGTGATGGATAGAGGGAGAATGGGGAGGGGTGATGGAAAGAGGGAGAATGGGGAGGGGTGATGGAAAGAGGGAGAATTGGGCAGGGTGATGGAAAGACGCATGCTTGTGTCCGGACTCATGCTTGCGCCCGGACGCATGCTTGGGTCTGGACGCATGCTTGCGCCCGGTCGCATGCTTGTGTCCGGACGCATGCTTGTGCTCGGTCGCATGCTTGTGTCCGGACGCATGCTTGTGTCCGGACTCATGCTTGCGCCTGCACGCATGCTTGAGTTCGGTCGCATGCTTGTGTCCAGACGCATGCTTGCGCCCGGACGCATGCTTGTGTCCAGACGCATGCTTGCGCCCGGAAGCATGCTTGTGTCCGGACGCATGCTTGCGCCCGGACGCATGCTTGTGTCCAGACGCATGCTTGCGCCTGGTCGCATGCTTGTGTCAGGACGCATGCTTGTGTCCGGTCGCATACTTGTGTCCGGACGCATGCTTGGGTCCGGACGTATGCTTGCGTCCGGACGCATGCTTGTGTCTGGACGCATGCTTGCGCCCGGTCGCATGCTTGTGTTCGGACGCATGCTTGCGCCCGGTCGCATACTTGTGTCCCGACGCATGCTTGTGTCCGGACGCATGCTTGTGTCTGGACGCATGCTTCTGTCCAAGCGCATGCTTGTGCAAGAACGCATGCTTGCGTCCGGACGCATGCTTGCGCCCGGTGGCATGCTTGGGTCCGGACGCATGCTTGTGTCCGGACGCATGCTTGCGCCTGATTGCATGCTTGTGTCCGGACGCATGCTTGTGCCCGGACGCATGCTTGCGCCCGGACGCATGCTTGCGCCCAGACACATGCTGGTGTCCGGACGCATGCTTGTGTCCGGAAGCATGCTTGCGCCCGGTCGCATGCTTGTGTCCGGACGCATGCTTGTGTTTGGACGCATGCTTGCGCCCGGACGCATACTTGTGTCCGGACGCATGCATGTGTCCGGACGCATGCTTTTGTCCGGAAGCATGCTTTTGCCCGGTTGCATGCTTGTGTCCAGACGCATGCTTGTGTCTGGACGCATGCTTGCGCCCGGACGCCTGCTTGTGTCCGGACGCATGCTTGCGCCCGGTCGCTTGCTTGTGTCCAGACCCATGCTTGCGCCCTATCGCATGCTTGTGTCCGGACGCATGCGTGTGTCCGGACGCATGCTTGCGCCCGGTCGCATGCTTGCGTCCGGATGCATGCTTGTGCCCGGACGCATGCTTGCGTCCGGACGCATGCTTGTGTCCGAACGCATGCTTGCGCCTGTTCGCATGCTTGTGTCCGGACGCATGCTTGCGCCTGTTCGCATTCTTGCGCCCGGACGCATGCGTGTGTCCAGACGCATGCTTGCGCCCGGACGCATGCTTGTGTCCGAACGCATGCTTGCGCCCGTTCGCATGCTTGTGTCCGGACGCATGCTTGCGCCCGTTCGCATTCTTGCGCCCGGACGCATGCGTGTGTCCAGACGCATGCTTGCGCCCGGTCGCATGCTTGCGCCCGGACGCATGCTTGTGTCCGGACGCATGCTTGCGCCCGGTCACATGCTTGTGTCCGGACGCATGCTTGCGCCCGTTCGCATGCTTGTGTGCGGACGCATGGTTGTGTCCAGACGCATGCTTGCGCCCGGACGCATGCTTGTGCCCGGACGCATGCTTGTGTCCGGACGCATGCTTGCGCCCGGTCGCATGCTTGGGTCCGGACGCATGCTTGTGTCCGGACGCATGCTTGCGCCCGTACGCATGCTTGTGTCCGCACGCATGTTTGCGCCCGTTCGCATGCTTGTGTCCGGACGCATGCTTAAGCCCGTTCGCATGCTTGCGCCCATTCGCATGCTTGTGTACGGACGCATGCTTGTGTCCGGACGTATGCTTGCGCCCGGTTGCATGCTTGTGTACGGACGCATGCATACGCCTGGTCGCATGCTTGGGAATGGACGCATGCTTGTATCCAGACGCATGCTTGCGCCCGATCGCATGCTTGCGTTCGGACGCATGCTTGCGTTCGGACGCATGCTTGTGCCCGGACGCATGCTTGCGCCCGGACACATGCTTGTGTCCGGACGCATGCTTGTGTCCGGACGCATGCTTGTGTCCGGAAGCATGCTTGCGCCCGGTCGCATGCTTGTGTCCGTACGCATGCTTGTGTCTGGACGCATGCTTGCGCCCGGACGCATACTTGTGTCCGGACGCATGCTTGTGTCCGGAAGCATGCTTGCGCCCGGTCGCATGCTTGTGTCCGGACGCATGCTTGTGTCTGGACGCATGCTTGCGCCCGGTCGCATGCTTATGTCCGGCCCCATGCTTGTGTCCAGACGCATGCTTGCGCCCGGTCGCATGCTTGTGTCCGGACCCATGCTTGCGCCCAGTCGCATGCTTGTGTCTAGAGGCATCGCTCACATGCTTGTGTCCGGACGCATGCTTGTGTCCGAACGCATGCGTGTGTCCGTACGCATGCTTGCGCCCGGTTGCATGCTTGCGTCCGGATGCTTGCTTGTGCCCGTACACATGCTTGTGTCCAGACGCATGCTTGCGCTCGTTCGCATGCTTGTGTCCGGACGCATGCTTGCGCCCGGTCGCATGCTTGTGTCTGGTAGCATGCTTGTGTCCAGACGCATGCATGCGCCCAGTAGCATGCTTGTGTCCGGACGCATGCTTGTGTCCAGACGCATGCTTGCGCCCGTTCGCATGCTTGTGTGCGGACGCATGCTTGTGTCTACACGCATGCTTGCGCCTGGACGCATGCTTGTGCCCGCACGCATGCTTGTGTCCGGACGCATGCTTGCGCCCGGTCGCATGCTTGTGTCTGGTAGCATGCTTGTGTCCAGATGCATGCATGCGCCCAGTAGCATGCTTGTGTCCGGACGCATGCTTGTGTGCAGACGCATACTTGTGTCCGGACGCATGCTTGCGCCCTGTCGCATGCTTGTGTCCGGACGCATGCTTGTGTCCGGACGCATGCTTGTGTCCGGACGCATGCTTGTGTCCGGACGCATGCTTGTGTCCGGACGCATGCTTGCGCCCGGTCGCATGCTTGTGTCCGGACGCATGCTTGTTTCCGGACGCATGCTTGTGTCCGGACGCATGCTTGTGTCCGGACGCATGCTTGTGTCCGGACGCATGCTTGTGTCCGGACGCATGCTTGTGTCCGGACGCATGCTTGCGCCCGGTCGCATGCTTGTGTCCGGACGCATGCTTGTTTCCGGACGCATGCTTGCGCCCGGACGCATGCTTGTGTCCGGACACATGCTTGTGTCCGGACGCATGCTTGCGCCCGGTCGCATGCTTGTGTCCGGACGCATGCTTGTTTCCGGACGCATGCTTGCGCCCGATCGCATGCTTGTGTCCGGACGCATGCTTGCGCCCGGTCGCATGCTTGGGTCCGGACACATGCTTGTGTCCGGACGCATGCTTGCGCCCGTTCGCATGCTTGTGTCCGGACGCATGCTTGAGCCCGTTCGCATGCTTGCGCACGTTCGCATGCTTGTGTCCGGATGCATGCTTGTGTCCGTACGCATGCTTGCGCCCGGTCGCATGCTTGTGTCCGGACGCATACTTGCGCCCGGTCGCATGGTTTGGTCCAGACGCATGCTTGCGCCCGATCGCATGCTTGTGTCCGGACGCATGCTTGTGCCCGGACGCATGCTTGCGCCTGGACGCATGCTTGTGTCCGGAAGCATGCTTGCGCCCGGTCCCATGCTTGTGTCCGGACGCATGCTTGTGTCTGGACGCATGCTTGCGCCCGGACGCATACTTGTGTCCAGACGCATGCTTGTGTCCGGACGCATGCTTGTGTCCGGAAGCATGCTTGCGCCCGGTCGCATGCATGTGTCCGGACGCATGCTTGTGTCTACACGCATGCTTGCGCCCGGATGCCTGCTTGTGTACGGACGCATGCTTGTGCCCGGACGCATGCTTGTGTCCGGACGCATGCTTGTGTTCGGACGCATGCTTGTGGGCGGACGCATGCTTGCGCCCGGTCGCATGCTTGCGTCCGGACACATGCTTGCGCCCGGTCGCATGCTTGGGTCCGGACGCATGCTTGTGTCCGCACGCATGCTTGCACCCGGTCACATGCTTGTGTCCAGACCCATGCTTGCGCCACGTCGCATGCTTGTGTCTGGAGGCATCGCTCGCATGCTTGTGTACGGACGCATGCTTGTGTCCGGACGCATGCTTGTGTCCAGACGCATGCTTGTGCTTAGTCGCATGCTTGTGTCCGGACGCATGTTTGTGTCCAGACGCATGCTTGGGTCCGGACGCATGCTTGCGCCCGGTCGCATGCTTGTGTCCAGACGCATGCTTGCGTCCAGTAGCATACTTGTGTCCGGTCGCATGCTTGCGCCCGTTCGCATGCTTGTGTCCGGAAGCATTCTTGTGTCCAGATGCATGCATGCGCCCGGTAGCATGCTTGTGTCCGGACGCATGCTTGTGTCCGGACGCATGCTTGCGCGCGGTCGCATGCTTGTGTCCGGACGCATGCTTGCGCCCGGACGCATGCTTGTGTCCGGACGCATGCTTGCGCCCGGTCGCATGCTTGCGTCCGGACGCATGCTTGTGTCCGGACGCATGCTTGTGTCGGTCGCATGCTTGTGTCCGGACGCATGCTTGTTTCCGGACGCATGCTTGCGCCCGGACGCATGCTTGTGTCCGGACGCATGCTTGTGTCCGGACGCATGCTTGCGCCCGGTCGCATGCTTGTGTCCGGACGCATGCTTGTTTCCGGACGCATGCTTGCGCCCGATCGCATGCTTGTGTCCGGACGCATGCTTGCGCCCGGTCGCATGCTTGGGTCCGGACGCATGCTTGTGTCCGGACGCATGCTTGCGCCCGTTCGCATGCTTTTGTCCGAACGCATGCTTGAGCCCGTTCGCATGCTTGCGCACGTTCGCATGCTTGTGTCCGGATGCATGCTTGTGTCCGTACGCATGCTTGCGCCCGGTCGCATGCTTGTGTCCGGACGCATACTTGCGCCCGGTCGCATGCTTTGGTCCAGACGCATGCTTGCGCCCATTCGCATGCTTGTGTCCAGACGCATGCTTGAGCCCGTTCGCATGCTTGCGCACGTTCGCATGCTTGTGTCCGGATGAATGCTTGTGTCCGGACA